ATATGGACGAAACTGAAGGATTCCTGCAGACAGTTTATAGAAAATATATGTATGTGTGTGTGTGTGTGTGTGTGTATATATATACACGATGAGAGAAAGTTAAATATAAGGGGCACAACAAAATATCCATATTTAAGAAACATAGATTGACTCACTGACTTATCTCACTTATTGTACAAAGATTCATTCTAACTATGTTGAATTTTTTAAATTAGATTTTAAATATAAGTTGACAGTATGAATTTGTACAGTGTGAGTAACCGCAGGGAGAACTGACAGCTCTGCTTTTGTTATTAAACTACTGTCTGAAAAATAATGGAGTGTGTACAGCAATTGATTATTATTGTGCCAATTACATTAGCGCAGCTAATAATAATCATTAAGAACAAAATACAAAAAACTACAGGTTTTCAGGTGTTAGAAGCTGATAATCACGGCTGAGGCAAAAATATGTGCTTTTTTTAAGGAAGTTGATAAGTAAGATTCTCCTGTTATTAATGCTAAGTAAAGACGACGTGTGCAACCTCAGAACGTTTCTTTTTAAACTGTGTTAAATTATTCTGTACTCAAATACAGTTATAAACAGTAAAAGAGACTTTCTAAGCTTAATTTAGCAGCTGAATATAGAAAGTCCTAGTCTGATACAATAGTAGCGCAACAGACATGTTTTACAACGTTAAAAATTCCTTTTAATAATGGTTTATTTTACTATATTTACTAAATCAGGTACCCGAGAGAATCCTCTACAACGGTGATGTGAAAATCCCTGTTACCTGAGGTCAAAAAAAAAAAGGTATGTTTTCATTTTCGCTAGCAATTTGGCATATTCCAGTGGAGGTGGTGGGGGGGTGCTCCTTTGTTTTCTGCCGCTAACGAACGCGGGGCTTTGGGCAGACCCCGGGGGACCCGGGGCAGTCGCCGGGTGCCGTTTCCGGCGCTTTCGGCTCAGGCTGGCTTTCAGGTGCCTACAGGAAACATTTGTGATGATCGGGCTTTGTACTTTTGTCAGCCAGGCAGCAGCTCTCCCGTGTCCCACCACTCATATATAATCCTTTGCAAATGTTTTCTTTCTTTTTCTTCAAATGCCAGCGTTCAGACACCAGCTACGGGGATTAAGGATGGGTCTTCTGAAGATGTCGCTCAGATCTTGATGAAAATCATGAGCTTGTGTTCGATAGCTTCCGTCCTTAAAATTTACAATGCAGTCTAACTCACAGCACGGTTTTCCTCTTGAAATTCACGTTCTTTCAGTCTGTCAACGCTGACAAAATACATGCCATTAGTGACAATATGGGGATTCAACTTTTAGTCACTTCCCCTGCTGGATTCAAACAGCCTTTTTTTTTTTCCCATGGAATCTGATTTTTATTGACCTCAACTGTAAAAGATACTAAGTGGTTTAAATGAGCTTCAAGGTTGCAACGGCAGCGATTCCTATGTCACTTTTATTAAGAAATGTCTCATCTTAGTTAAGAATACAGACTACCGCACAGCTTATCGCGCTTGGATCGACAGTCAAGCGCTGTTACAAAACGCTCGTATTTCACCAGCTCACGGAATTAAGCTTTTATTTTTTTTTAATTTAAATTTAGGGTCAGGACGCAGGAGAGGTAATCAGTGCTCTAGACTCTACCTTGAATAGCAGCAGGAGGAGTTTTTGTCGGTGTACAGACTACAGGAATGGGCTCCCCAGAAGAGGTGTGTTCTGGGCCCGACTCTTCTCCCTTCCCGGCATTACACCCAGTGAGATGTTTTTGCCTCCGTGCAGTTTTTTTCTGCGTTACACCACCTTAAGGGGCTTAAAGTGTAATGCCCTTTTTATGAGAATTGAGACATGTTTTGATTAAGCTGAAGCAACTACATATTTTTGTTGCAGAAGTATAACACATATTCCATCACCTTGCTTCTAATGGAACTGCTCTGATTTCAGTAATCTGAGAGGAAAGCTTGCCCGAGTCCTATAATTTATGTGTGTAATTATTATATTTATATAAATTATATAAGTGACATAAATCTTTGCTATCCGCATATTAAAAAAGCAAAATCTTTCTCCCTGATGCACACTTGCGATCTCAGGACTTGCTTAGCCTGCTGCTCTCTGGGACAATTCACTGCTCCGTCCTTCCAATATTTTGTAGTTATGCTGTCACGTAATGTTGAGAAAAACAGCGGCAAAATTCCTTACTTTTAAACAAATAGCTATTGGGTCTTGGAAGAGTTAACGAACTTTTATGGCAAGGTTCAGACAGTTCTGACCCCTATGGTAATATTTCATCTAAGGTTACTGTTGGGAGAGAAATCAAATTTCAGCTGTGAACATGATTGACAGGTGAAAGCAAGAAAGAGAAAGACATCTGGTCAGAGGGGGAATTTGGGAAGGAGAAGGACAATTCCGGGAAGCGTCTCTGTGATATTAGGAATAATAAGCTTAGATATGAAAACTCCAATACTTCATATTCTCTGGAGGCTTCCTTAGTTGGTATTCATGGAGGTGGTTTGGTTAAGGGAGTTTAAGACTGTACATTTATAGTAGTGGACAGCAGTCTCCATGGTCTAACTTACTAGCTTGACTCCTTTGAAGAAATTATGTTATTTCTGGCATACTTTTAGCCTTTTGAGGCAATTCACTCTATGAGTGTGACTGGACTATTTGGTGGTTGTTGGTTAAGACGCTCTCACCATCATGTCTCTCTCGGGTCAGACAGCAGCAGGATTCGCAGATGTGAATCACGGGTGTCACTCCATGCATTTGAGCTTATGGGGTTTACTAGGAGTTTTCAGAGTAAGCACAGCAGGATGAAATTTGTGTTTATGATATACACTGTTACAGCAATAGCAAAACTAGTTGCTATCTCATAAAATACCAGCAAGGATACATTCTGGTGTTTTATAAGGCAGCTATTAATTTCCGAGGGCCATATATTGGCTTATTGCATGTGCAGAGCTCCCAGTAACTCTGGCCAGCGTCCCTCACGATACGTACATAACCCCAGCCATATTTGATACCTATTTTTATACTACTTCAGTGTGTTTTGGTTGGTGCAGAAGAGCTTTTCCACCTTCCAACATTATGGAACTACCAGGAATAACATATCCCACTGAATGCCTAATTACTTCATGACATTGGCCTGATATTGTTGGAAAGCAGAAATTGGTTCTGACATAAGTAACTATAGCCAGGCTTTCTCTTAAGAAATGAAGTACAAGGGAAAAAAAGTGGTTGTTTTTATCACTGTGTGTCACTTTCATATTTTAGTTTTCAAATAAAAGGCAGGGTCTGTGAAGGAGTTGTGGGGTACTCTATGGGCACTATATCAAAATGATGGACCCTGGACTCTAAACTGCATCTTAGCTGTATCTCAAGTGAGAAGGAAAGGTCTTGGGCGGACTCCTGGCCCCACTGCAGGCGTTGATAAAATTCCTATTGAATTTTGGTACCTAGACTTCTATCGCAACGCGAATGTCTACAGGGGAAGGCGTACTAATAAAAAGCGAGAGATGAATTCATACCGTGGTAGCTGTGCTGGTAGAATTCCCTGGATGGATGTTCTTATTCTGGAGCAAGAGTAGATTTTTTTTCTCCCCAGTATAGCTTAAGCCACTTACAAAATAAAATAAACTAACCAGGAAAATCCACTCTTACTCTAGAGTAAGATTGTCCACCCAGGGAATGGATAGCACTGCGGTATAGTTTTACAACATAATTTCCCCATATGGATGAGCCCTAAAACTAAGGAGAGAATAAGGAGCAGTAAAGAACAGAAATATGTTTTCTGTTCCTTTTTCAGTTTACCTCTAAGACCTTTCACACAAGGGAAATCACTGCAATCTTAAAATATACATTCACTTACTTTTCACTGCTGTTCCTGCATTCACACATACATTTTTTAAAGAGATTTGTGTTTTGTACAAGACCTTTTGCTTTCTCATGCTGTTCTTGTGCATTTTTGATGTACAATCAAGTCAGACTGTTGTTTGTGACATCATATTTCTTTACAGCCTGTGATGTCAAACTGCCAGGCTTCACTGCAAGCTAGACCTTATTGACGAAGTTTTATCCTGAGGCCATATATCTGATAAAATTGAAAATGCACCTAAGCATTGTAAAAATCAAATTTCTCTGTGTGTGCTGAGTTATTTTTAACCTTCCCTTGTTGAATTAGCACTGCCTTTAAAACGTCTTTATTTCTTAAATATGATATGTAGATAACTTCCATGAAATATTGTTGGCAAGTTTCCCACTGAAGTCAATGGTAACCATGTATATATTTTTCAAGCAGATGTGCTATATTAAGGTTAAATGGGAATCTTTTATTTCAAATGGGAGGTAATATGTTACTTTTGCTAATAAACTGATAGTAACCTATCTCCCTCACTTTCCCCTCCCCAAACACATCTTATGCAATTTACAGGTCATTTTACATAGGTAAGAAAGCGTTCTCTAGTATTTATAAAATGCAGACTTTCACTATGTCTGGAACTCCTTTCTAGCTCACACCTATGAATTTGAAGTACAAAAACATCTTGAGTCTTTCTGAGCAAAGAGAAGGCGTATGCCTTATTTGACAGCTCTTTCCCCTAGAAATTCCCAGCAAAGTCAATTTAATAGTTTTGCCTATGCTTAGAATAAATTCTAAAATCTTTTTCCAGTGATGTAGCTTTTGCTGTTGTTCATTTCTAACAGAAGATTTTAGGTTAAGGGCCAAAAAAATAATTAAAGTTTTTTTTAAACATCCCTTGGCTTTTCCAATTTGTGCCACTTACCAAATGAGTCACGCTTTACCAAAATACGGGAGATGGATGAGACAGGAAAAGCACTGATTTAGCAGCCCTCCTATAAAATTGCTTCAGGCTTCCACATATAGCCCCAGTGTTCAGGGAGTGAAGAAGCTGGGAGTTGGGAGTCACAGTCTGACTCACTTGTGAGACTTTGACCCAGTTATTTCATTCTTGATTCAGCAAAATACTGAAGCACATGCATACTTGAAACTGGTTATCTTACGTTTCTTCTAAAGGTCTGTTACCATTGATCTGTTTATATCTCGGTTTACACAGTTACAAAACTAGACAATTAATTCTTACCTTCTAGGCTTTAGTATGAGTTAAAAAAAAAATCTGCAATGTTCCTAGAAAATGTCTAATGAAAGCTGGTGTGTTGAAAGGCATGCCGTTTACCTTATTGTGTAACCTCGGATGAAAAATCGCTTGTGCTTCACATCAGCACGAGTCCTGCTCACCACTTTGAGGGTCGCAGAAGCTCTGGTCCCGGATTTTGAATCACTCAAAATATAAGCAAAATCGTGGTTCAGTTCTGTGCTCCCTCTCTCTCTCTCTCATTTAAATGCAATGTATACATGTTTGCTACCTATATGTACACACACACATATATAGATAAACTTGTGAACCTGCCAAGACACCTAGAGGCCACGTTGTCCTTGTAACTCTTCCCCTTCCTGTCAGTGCCATTATATTTATTTGCCAAGATTTGAGCCATTATCATTCAGCAGTTGTGCAGCTTTGCTTTGCTTTTCTTCTGCCCCCAAATTACTACTGTTTCCCTCCTGCCTTCTACCCCCAGATCGGTAATGGAGTCCTCAGCTGTAAATTTGCTAACCATAAAGATTTTTGCTTGAAATGTTTTGAAAATGCCTTGGTTAAAAAAAAAATATGTATATATAAAAGCCTATGAACAACACGCTGTGCCATTGCGCCATGCTCACGCATTGCACTTCTACAGGAAAGATAATAAAGATATTAGCACTCATATAATTTCAGATAGAAAATGAAACCAGA